CCGGAGCCGCCTTGGGACCGTGATTCGAAAAATCACGTCACAATGCATACAGAAAGTAATCTTAATCTAATGGAATTTATTAATATTAAAATCGTCAGATTTGTCAAGTTATCTCCTAATAACACTCCCAATACACGAGCCTGAAAGGACTGCTAGTGTGTACAACATATAAAACAACATATAACAAACAACAACAAACAACATATAAAAAGATATTGCTTATCTGACCTATCCCCAGTTACATGAGATAAAGCATGTTTTCCAGACGACATAAATGGTGAATTATGTTTATGGTCTGAGATTACCTTTATTCTCAGTACAGTAGGACCTCGATTTTATGGAACTCGATTTTATGGACAAACCCCACTTTCTTGCTAACACTTTATAGAGTGGGGCGCATGTGCGCTCCGCCAGCCAGTACCGTAACTACACTCTAGTGTCGGCAGCCATCCGGGCCCGTTTATAGTTTATAATTGAAAGGATGCCACGACCATATGATACGGTACTGTCCACAAGCGCGCGAGTGGCTATACGCATTGTAGGGACGGAGCTTAGTGAACCTCGATTCTGTGGACTTCCGGTCCCGACTTGTCCATTAAATCGAGGTCCTACTGTACATCATTCTATGGCTCACAACACGTATTATGAAGTAAGTTAGTTGGTTCTGAGACCGACTTTGCATATGATTGACAAACGCCAAAAGTAACATTGCAATATAATTAAAAATTAAGGCTCCCGGTAAAGAATTCTATATATGAAGTGGTATAAAATAGGTCTCGAATATATAATTCAAATATAGAAACAGTTCTCCCGAGTCACGCAGAGATCGAGGACGACTCATCATATCCAGAACAAGTCTAGCTCAACTATAGACTTCTAGAATGATTATTTTGCTTTAGTGTTGGGCAAATCAAGTTAAGCTACACTTCTATACATTACTTTACCTCGGTATAGGAGAGACTTCACTTACAATTTGTTAGATTTCTACTAATTATTTTGTCTTAGTTTGCGACAAGTATTATTAAGCTAGACTTTGGTAATCAAGTATGGTATCCTATATCTGTTGTTGATTTAGACATATGGATTACTTGCGTAATAGTTGAGCTAGACTTCGTATGATATTTCACCAGCATGCAAGAGATTTGTAAAGAGTATGGAACAGTCTGAGTAGAACGACTTCAGCTAGACTTGATTTATACTCACGCAATATATTTACTCAATTTTGTGACAGATTCAATCTAGATGATGTATAGATTCTTTCGGCATTTTCAACTGAACCTGATGTAGACCAAATATTTTAACTTCGGATGTTATAATTGTGGAAAGACGTCAAGAATATAGTACCCGATTTATTTAATTGCATTTAACTGAAATTTCGGAATATAGTAAACTTATGCATGCAACTAGTCCAGTCTTTTGCGACATTGCAATTTTGAGGAATTTGTTGCAAACAATGCAGAAAAGATTTGAAAGCTTATCCGCCTCTGAAGTAATCATAAAATTTGTTCTAATTACATATTATATCGTGCAAAGTCGTCCAAACGTACTATTTATATCCATTACAAAAGTCATTAAAGTATAATTGCAAAACTTTATACCTCATAAAAACGTAGAGGGGCTCTTCCGCAAGCGATTAATTATAGCGTTTGTATTTTCAATAATAAAACTAAAGTGTGAATACATTCATGCACAATGAAACTTAAGTCTTAAAAAACAATAAACTATCTCATTACTTTATTCAATACTAGATTAAATTATTTCGATCTCGATTCATCATTATTTTAGAAATTCAGTTATAAAGTCCATGGTAAAATGCAGAAACGAACGAGCGAGAGAAAGAGAAAGAGAGAGAGTAAGTAGCAGAGAAACAGAGAGACGAAGTAAAAATAATAAGATGAATGAATGAATGTACAGGTAATTCGGACATTTCGAGAAGGTTCGAAGGGGTTGGTAAGGGAAGCCGAAATTAACGCAATGCTTTTCAGCGAGCAGCCCTGCGATAACGTGCAGCCAAAGCCTGGCTGGGCATCAAAAGCCATCGATGCTATTATAGCACTTCTATAGCTAGAAAGCTTTGCCAAATCAAACGATAGGGTATTGAGAGAGGAGAGAGAGAAACGAGATGGGGAGGATAGGGAGACTGAGAGAGGGAGAACGAAAGTGAACGAGAAGAATAGAAAGGGAGATGGAGCATAGAAGAACAGAAGAGATGCTTGTGGACGCTGGTTCGAAACGCTGGGCAAAGCTAAAACTGTGAGATTGGCTAATTAGTATTGAGCTGATTAGTGAGATCGGAGGGTGGTAGTAGCTTACCACGAGTTAACGTTGAACAAGTTTCTGTGTACATTGAGTGCACAAGGCTCGCGCACAACTGTAGAAACATGGAAACGCTGAATGAGCATTGCGCGGCAATTGAGTCCCACTGCGCCCTGTGTCCCTGTCGCGTTAACCATGCCCGTAAGGGTAGATTGCACGTACACGCCCGAGCTGTATACGTAACACGTGTGCACATATTGGTCCGGGTCTCTGTGTTTACGTATGTGAAGGAGGGACTGAGGGAGGTGCATTCGTCAGAATGAACGACGAGATACGTATCCGGTATCAGGAATGATTAATTACTGCAATCCGTGTAATTGACAAATTCGAAGTTCGCTCGGCGCCCATATCGAACTGTTTGAACGAGAGCTTCCTATTGATTTATCGTTAGGTGGATGACTAAAAAGAGATAACAATGGATTAAATGGATTAAAGATTAAACAATGGACTAAATTTAATGGGATCGTTAATGTTTCAGGCGAGGATGCCAAGGAATCGCAGCTCCATCCTTAACGCGGAAGCGTTACTGATCCTGGTGATCGTTGTTCTCTTCACCCTCGATCCTGCACGATGTACGCCGTCGCACAGGAGCAGACATCATGCTGACCTTTCTCACGAGGAAATGAAAAATTTGCGATCTTTCGAGGAGCTTCCACGACCCGAAGCTCTCGGCAGTAATTCAGCCGATGATCCACTTATAGTACAGACACAGAAAGGTCGGGTCAGGGGTATGACCTTGACCGCCACTACAGGAAAAACGGTGGACGCATGGTTCGGTATTCCCTACGCGCAGAAACCACTCGGTAAGTTATTGTATTCTCGATGGTATACATTGAATTTTGAAATCATATTAAACCAATTTATAAAGGCGTTTTAAAGAATACGCATTTTGTTAAAATACTTTCTAAGCTCTCTTATTGATTTGAGTCTCGTGGGAATAAAGTCACGAGATTGCATAAATTATGATCTATTTGAAATTATGGAATTCTTATTGGCAAGTTCCCCTTTAAATAAACTTCTTGGGCGGTAAGAAAAACTGTTGGGCATACAAGTTTAACGTGGATTTTCGTTACACAAATATATTTATTCATCAATTTGTACTAACGGTTCTAATTGGACTGTTGATATTTCATTGCTTACTTGTTTCACTGGTATACAGGGTGCTCGGCGAGTTACGAGTATTATGAATGTCTGTTATTTCTGATTTTATAAAAATGATACTTCTAATTCGTGGAATCACCTTTGTGAAAGACATGCTGATCTAGTATATATAGTACAAATCATTGCTACGTACGAAAATAAGTATTGTCGATACAGCTACTCATGTATTGCTTTGATGATACATTAATTCTGATAGTTTTTTACATCCCACGATACGCTATAGATTGACCAATGAGCTTGATCGGCAGACGAATTGAATGTTATTAAAAATTAATTTTCTTTCGCCATAAAAAAGCACGTCAGTAACACAGTCTATGCGATCGTGTTAAAATGAATCTGCTCCTGGAATGAGGACAGCACGTTCTTCACGTTATAAGTTCACTCGAAGTTTTAATACGGTCGTATCACGTGCATGAGTTTCTCTTGTGTACGATATTATCTTTGACCCACCAACTAAATTATAAATTCAGGAAATATAAACCTTATCTATCCTAGGGAGATAGTTTTCATGATGTAAGAAAATAAGGATGGCCGTTGACACGAAAGTCGTTTCTAATTATGAATGATGTGCTTTTATGATTTTCAAATTAAATTAAAATTCATTTTTACTATTCGATAATTGGAAAATTTGTTGTTGTTAACAACAAATATCGTTTAATATTGAGCAAAATTTGTGACAGGTTCTTTGAGATTTCGCCACCCGAGACCTGCGGAACGTTGGTCTGGTGTTCTGAATGCAACGAGCCTTCCAAATAGCTGCGTACAAATTTTGGATACCGTTTTTGGAGACTTTGCTGGCGCCACCATGTGGAATCCTAACACGGCACTCAGCGAGGACTGCCTCTATGTGAACGTTGTTACGCCTCGACCAAGGCCTACTAACGCTGCTGTCATGGTATGGATATTTGGTGGTGAGTTTCTAGTTCCGTGATTGCCGTAGATAATTAATCTATGTATACATTTTCTAAGTCACAATTATAAATCTAATGGAATGTGAGAAGTATCGATTGTAGGATTACGGTGCAATTTTATACTGACATGCTAATACTTAAGTGCACTGTTTTGCATATTATGCTATACCGAAGCAACTAGATTTATCTTGAAATACAATGATTATGGACTTTGGCATCTTGTGGATTTGTCGTTACGAAGAAACAAAATACTGATTTACAGTTAAGGGGTTATATGCACTTATTCTCAGGAAAAAAGGGTTTTTTCAAGAATTTTTTTCGCAAAGACGGTACATTTTTTCAAGATTAACCACCACGTATCTATTTTTACATGTTTGAAAATATTTTATTCAATTTTTGAATGAAAAATGTTCACATTTGTAGGCACTACAATCGTTGAGTTAAAACAACTTTTGTCCGGCCCCCCTCGCGGTGAGCATAATAAGCAGAGAATGGATCATCTGCAACCAACCAAAACAAAACTTTTCTTTAGTTTACATCATTACGCCGTACTTGAACGAAGGATTTGACGAAATAAACATTTCTGCATAAATGGTGATGATTTTCCTGAAAAGTTCGATTTTTGGAGGTGTGGAAATTAAGTTTTTTCCGCTCCAAAAAAAAGTTTTGTTTCAAATGGAAATTCTTTTGTTCAAGTACGAGATATTGCAGTTGTAAAGTAATCTGCAAAAAATTAGATCGATAGGTGACATGGTTCTTGAGAAACCCTGCTCACCGCAACGGCACTTTTTGAAAAACAACATTTTGAGGTAATCGCGTTTAAAGTTTCGGATACTTATTTTTCACAGCTAAAATAAAATTTGAGCTGACAACTGCAACTTAGGTTATAGTGCTCAGATCTCTATGAAATTTTGAGGAAATAATCTCAAGAGAATGTACTTTAAGAAAATGCAATACAACAATTTTCGATTTTTTTCGACCAACACAAGTGTATACTGTATAACCCCTTAAAAGGGAAATATGTCTTCTAACAATACTGCCCCATTTATGTGTGAAAATTAATTGATTGCGAAAAATTCAATCCAATTGACTCAGCAATACGTTCAAAACTTTAAATACGTAAATACGACTGCTTTTTCTGGATTTCCCACAGTTTGTTTCGAAACCGGAAGTGCTACACATGTCCAAATAAGCTATCACATTGACATCCTGAATTTTAGATATGTACATTACATATGAGATTCGCATCTATATGTATACACGTAATTCGCACACCTAACACACAATTTTTTGGCACGAGTACGGTGGAGTGTTTTATGTACCCGCCATTGCAAAAACAGATGTGTCTGCCTGTGTATGTGTGTACGTATGCGAACGCGAATATCTGTATAAAAAATCTGAACCGAATCAATTGAGTTTCAATTTGCCAAGAAAAAATTAAATTCCGAATGTAAATGAAAGTATTGTTTACAAACAACTAGCACTTCCGGCAGGAAATCAGTGCATGTACAAAATTAATATTTTTTACAGCAATAAATGCATAAAATACAACTGTAAAGCCCCTTTGATGTGGCTTAATGACACAAAATAAAATGAAAATCTAGACATTTTGTGTAATCCAATTATTCTAATAAGCATATTATTATATTAAGTCATTAAAGTATGAAATGCCCGATTTCGAACTGAAAGTATTTGAAGTTAGCCGACATTTCAACTTAATGACCTAATATATACATACAGATTACAGAGATTATGCATTTCGCTCTATGGTTTGTTTCAGGTGGATTCTACTCGGGTTCAGCTACCCTAGATGTTTACGACCACCGCACTCTGGTTTCCGAAGAAAACATCATTCTAGTGTCAATGCAGTACCGCGTTGCCAGCCTTGGATTCCTCTACTTCGGAACTCCCGACGTGCCTGGAAACGCTGGTCTCTTCGACCAAATGTTAGCATTGCAGTGGGTCCGCGACAATATCGCCGCCTTCGGTGGCAATCCTGACAACGTGACTCTCTTTGGCGAAAGTGCCGGAGCTGTCTCCGTTTCCTTGCATCTTCTATCGCCACTATCCAGGTACGTTGATTTTAAATATTTCTCCGCAAAGAAAAAAAAAGAAATAGAGTACTTGTTCCTCGTACATGTTACAAAAGCACATTAACATTTCAGGCACCTCTTCAACCAAGCCATAATGCAGTCAGGTTCGCCAACGGCGCCCTGGGCTATAATATCCCGTGAAGAGTCGATCGTTCGTGGACTCCGACTAGCCGAAGCCGTTGGTTGTCCTCATGAACGTGATTCCTTGCAAGCGGTCATCGACTGTCTCCAGCAGAGTGATCCTCTCGACCTGGTCAATAACGAATGGGGCACCCTCGGTATATGCGAGTTTCCATTTGTTCCCGTGATAGACGGTTCCTTCCTTGACGAAACCCCACAGCGCTCAATGGCCACTGCCTCGTATAAGAAGGCGAATATTCTTCTCGGCTCGAACACCGAAGAAGGTTTCTACTTCATAATTTATTATTTGACCGAGCTCTTCCGCATTGATGGCACCGAGGATGTCGAGGTGTCCCGTGAGGAGTTCATTCGGGCCGTCACTGAACTCAATCCTTACGTCAACCAAATCGCCCGACAGGCCATCATCTACGAGTACACTGACTGGATTCGTCCAAACGATCCTCACGTCAATCGCGACGCCCTCGACAAGATCGTTGGTGACTATCAGTTCACCTGTAACGTTAATGAGTTCGCAGAACATTACGCCAGCACGGGAAATACCGTTTACATGTACTATTATAAGCATAGGTATACATTTTTTTATTTCGTACAATTTTGCCTGTTAATTTTCTCTTACAATTCATCGTCACGTCTTTTTTCGTATCCTATGCATTTGTGTATTTATGGGCTGCTTGTCCTAACATTTAGATCAGCGAACAATCCCTGGCCGAAATGGACGGGCGTCATGCACGCCGATGAAATAAGCTACATCTTCGGCGAACCCCTTGACATGTCGAAGAAGTACACCACAGAGGAAATACATCTCTCAAAGCGGATGATGAAATATTGGGCAAACTTTGCGAAAACAGGGTACGACGGATATTACGATTGATTATTCATATGGTTATGGTAATCGGTGCTGTCCCTATTAGAGGATTTACGTTAAGCTTTTTGGCTATAAGTAACTGTCCAGTTTTGCCGTCGAAATATGTTTCCGTTTTCTGTGAAAGGAAACGTTAATCTTTCATACTGGCTTGATGTTACGTCGTAATTATAATAAACTTTGTCCTTAATCTTGCGATTTGTCTTGAATTATGATTCATTAATAGCAGAGTACTGTGAATTCAAAGAAACTCGACCGAAAGTATTTCTGACCCTTTGCTTATTATTGTGTTATGTTCTAATGGCAATGATACATATGAAGGCTAAATATAAAAAGTTATGTTATTTCTTTTGATGCAGAAATCCTAGTATGGGTGATGATGGTTCTTGGACGAAGCCTATTTGGCCCGTACATACTGCTTCGAACAAGGAGTATCTGACTCTTGACACCAACACAACAGAAATCGGTCAAGGTCCTCGTGTGAAGCAATGCGCTTTTTGGAAAACATATCTCCCTCAGCTCCTGAGTGTTACCAGTGAGTTACACTTTTTAATAACTTTTTTCCCCACTTTTCTTTATTATATTATCAGTGTAGCAAACGTCTATAAGATTTTTAGACTTTATACTACTCCTACTTCTTCAATTTATAGTAGAACCTTATTTTTATTATTTTGTAATAAAATAGACGTTACGTAACATCAAATTTGTTATGTGTCATCTACATAGTAATATCATTGCATATTTTGTATAAGCTCACGCTTTCTTTATTTGTGTATTTTTTAAAATAATATTACAATATTAAGACGTTAATAAAAATTTTTATTTGAAATTTGGAAGATTTTCAAGAGCCAGAACTAGGCCTGTACGAATCTATGGCTAACAGAAACAGTCGCAGAATGTGTTAAAATTAACCTACGACTGGTTTATTTCTATTTGCTTTTAAAATCAGTTAAACTATGATAATTTATTTCATGACGCTGAAACTGGCAGACGGAACCGCGCGGCGAGCAATAGGTTCTGAATGCGACTGTACGCGACTGTACGTATACGAGCTACGCTCGGTACGATGGCAAGTTTGTAATTTTCTTTGTTACTAATAAAGGCCGTCAACGGGAAAAATCATAGTACGTTCTATTCGTCTGGGTGTACAGAATATTCGTGTAAATTCACGGGATCCTAAGATCATGCGTGTAAAAGTTATACACAGCTTTTTAAGTGTTGCTATTGTAGGAGGCGCACGGACATGCAGATCTGTGCAGCTCAGCAGTACTTTTCCACGTATGCTCACAAAGATTTGTAGATTTACACTAATATTCTATGGGACACCATGAATACAATACACTATAGCTTATCTCGTTGACGGCCTTTGTTAATAATTTTTAAAAAAATTAACGACTCGCTATCGCACCGAGCGTTGCTCGTACACTGCACAAGTATTTTATTTAAAAAAATAAATAAAGCTCGTCAACGGGAAAAGTCAAAGTATGTTTTATTCGTTTCGGTGTACAGAATATTCGTGTAAATTCACGAGTACCATAGATCATGCGTATAAAAATTGTAAGCCGTTTTCTATGTAACGCTGTTACAGCAAGCGCAAGCATATACAAATATGTGAAACTGAACAGCACTTACTCATGTACACCCATAGCAACTTGCAGATTTAAACTAATATTCTATGTGCGGAAAAAATTCAACGGCATATGATTTTTCCCGTTGACGGCCTTTAATTATTTTTATTCTAAACAATATACTTGTTCAGTATACGAGCTACGCTTGGTACGATGGCATGTTTGTGATTTTTTTAGGCACGACCGCGGTACGCAAGTGCCTTATAGTTTCTATCGCG